AATCGTGAAATTTGAAAAAGAAGCGTTGGGCTGCGGGTAAAGTTTCGGTTAATTTGCATGAAACGGTGACTTCAGCCAAAACAGCACATTTTGTAGATTTATCGGAGAAAAAATCCGCGCCAACTGGATGGGCGGAGATTCATAGCCCATTGTGCGTTCTTCACTAGCGCATCCTTTCCTCTTTACCCAGCTACTGAAAGGGACGCACCGAGGTAGCGAAGAGAATAGTTGAGTGGTCCCACCACCCGGTTGTTGTGGGGTATATCTCTAGAATACCCTCTTGGTTGAGCGATACAAGGTGAACTCAAGTCCCATATAAGTTTTTCATTGGCACCCCCATACCCTTTACCATCAGAGGGTTTTAGAGTTGATAAGGTCGCAATGAGCCGGCGCGGTTAGTGGAATGAGCCCACTTCTGGCAGCTTTCGCTGCTAATAGTGAACGGTTAGTGATCGATCCAGGAAGAAAGTTGGAGCACCAACAGGAAAGACAGAGTGGCCACGGGTCTCCGCCCATTCGCTTATCGAGGAGCGCTCAATCGACTGCTAAGCGAAAATGCAAAAAGTCATCCAAGGAAAAGAACTCACAATGAAATGGTCCACCGCATAATCATCAGAACTGTTCAATAAATCGACACAATTGTGCTGCTCGGCAAATTGCCGAATGAGAAGGCAATTTTTCGTCGTGAGCAATTGGGTCATAAATCGTTGACATGCAAAACAGACGGAATCCATCTGAAAAAAAACCAATTTCACAGCTATTCCCCTCCCGCATCGGGATTCCCACCGTTACTCACCTGTAATATGGACGCTGCAAACAGCAAACTTTGCACGTTATCGCTATTTATGGAAATTTCACTCGTGTAGACAAAGTTCACCAATGCATCCAGGGCTTCAAATGAGATATCCTGAAACAGAGGCAGTCAGTGAGTCCCTTTTTCTACGCGATTTCTGCCAACGTTATTAGTGGAAGGGTTGAGTGAAGTATGGCTAGAAGACCTCTTGCATCACTTCCACCAATCACGTTAGCAGTAACCGCCCGCCCCCAGCCATCGTGCCTACTGCCTTTAGAGACAAAAACTGCAGAAATTCAAGGTGTCAGCACTGAGTGAATTTGAGGCCACGACTCAATTACCGTCATCATCATCATTGCACAGCGCCGGCGGATCGTAGCCATAAAGGCGTTGCTCGTCTTGGGAGGGCATTTTGTTGATATTTTGCTAATTCTTTTTGTTAAGCTGCTCAAATTATTAAGTACCTATCATTCTTGGTTAAAAACCTGCACAACGTGTGAAGCCTGGCGGAATAATTCAACCTCAGCCATTTCAGTACAAGATTACGTCCTGGCAAGGGCGGCTTGTATTATCTGTGCGGAGCCAGAGTTTTGATGCCCCTACCAAGCGCGCAACTGCGCCGCCATAAATACAGCTTTCACTAAGAACCATAACACATAGATAAGCCGCCAAGTCAAGGAGAATTGATTGGTAGCGTTAGATCGCCTCAAGCAAGCGAAGGAAATCCATTGAAATTCCATGCTTAGAATTCTTTGAAGGCAAAGAAACGAAAAAATGACGTCACAGCAGCCCCTCAGAGCCAGCACCACCGACAGTAGACGGCAGCAGCTGTCTGCTGCATAATTAGGCTATTCAGCGCCGAGAAAGGAAATAAGCAGAAGGAGCCATACACATCTATCTAGGTAATGTTTCCGCAGATTATGTCGGTTCAGGCAAAAAAAATGAAAGACTGACATTCAGAAGGATTCGATCCATCTTCGCTTCGACAACATCGTAACCGAACATTGCACGAAAGTAAGGTATCGCTGCGGCGAGCACAAAGCGATGAGCTGCCAAGGACTGGCCATCGACCTATAAAGAAAAGATAAATTTACCTGATGACACACCGAGTCCTGCTCGCGGCAGATAGTGGGGCATGTTGGAGAAGGGGAGGGGGGGGGGTTGGGGTTCGGTGTGGCGCCAGCTCGTTCTCCACCAGTTGTAGAAGCTGGGGCG